GTGGTGGAGTTGCAGATTACAACTCAATCAATTCACCCTCCTTATACAAGTGTGAGGGACAAAAACATGCAAAAAACACAACGATTATTATTTTCAGGTGATTATACACTAATGAAAACATAGTCATGAATATTATATTTGATTTCTGCCATTTGATCTTTCTTAAGCACCGGACCTTGAAAGTTAATAAAATATTTAATTACTCCTATATTTGAAATAAATGTATTTATTAATTTTATTATGATTTATTTTTAGGAAAATGTTAATTAATTAATTAATAGCCCCAAGCACCAATTCAGATTGATATCTCTGTTTCCCTCTTGAGCTCTGAACATGAGCATTAAAGTTTACCTCCTGCACTGGGTCCATGGTCATACACAATGGGAACAGCTGGCCCTCTGTTGCTGCACAAGCCAATATTATATCTCACTGGAAGAATGTGATGATATCGAAGTAGATAATGACGTTTGTATTATTTTTGGTAACACTTTTTATATCATGACCACTGGAAGGTGTGGATTAACGCCTACGATGTACGTGTTTGATAGTAGTTCTAAATGAATACACCACTATTAAACTGTAGGTAAAGATTGCTGTTCAGGTTAGTTGTGTAAACACCAACAACTTCTCAATGAGAACCACACAAATTTTATTTCAAATGTGTTCGACCATAAAGAAATATATGAGGCCACATTTTACTACATTGACTGTTGCTATTTGCATGTGCAAGATACAATTAATTTCTATATTAAGAGTTGCAGGTTCTGAGCACCCACATAATCTTACATGGATGCAGCTACCAAGTGAACCAACTGTGCACTGACAATTAAGGATTAAACTAGAAAATCACAATCTTAACTTGGCATTTATTTCTTCACCATAATAAAGTCCTACGTTGAATGCATAGGGAGGCTATCAACAGGCAACTATGGCATGTCTTAATTCAACAGTGCGTAAATTTACTTTTTTTTTATTTTTTTTTTGATTACATATAGCATTTTGTGGGAACGTGCCATAATCAGGATAATACCCTAGCCCGGATTAGGACTCTATGATTGTGATGGATTCTGTGAAGGGTGGTTCCACATAGGCAATTACAAATAATGGACCATACAGTCAGGAATTATGCCTCACATACAGGCTGAAAAAGCGGTTGTTGGTGTGGTAGCGGAGGGTGGCTGCCAGGTTCCAGTGGTCCAGTGGGAAGTTGTTGAGAACGTGCCACACAGAGATGTCTTCTGCTATTATATCATAGTAAACTGGATTCTGTGACAGTGCACACACTATTGTGATGACTCTAATTATAGTTACTTCTGCTAATTTTTCCCCCTCTGACCTTTAATTTTTATTAACAAATAAAAATTGAACTGCCCCAAATCCTGTAACCCACCAGATTCTGTGACCTAAGAAAGAACTTCTCCTTTTTATTATACTTTATCCCAAACTTTATTCTAACAGCGACTGTAACCAAAAATGGAGCCTCCGTAGTATTTAGAGTGAGTCACACATTTTGATTACTGTGATAGCAGATGTGTGCATAGTATAGTACTCACCTGATTGACCTTTAGGCTGTGGATTAACCCTGTTTTTTTCATGCACTAAACCCTCTTAGCGTCACAGATTTCTGAACGCCACATAAAAATTTGTGACCCAATGAAAATACTATGGATGCACCATGTTTGATAGAAGAAGAAAGTTAAAATAACATTTTAATAATATGATATAGTATGATCAAATAAAATGCGTGCAGTGGCAATATCACTCAAATTCCTCATCACATCACAAAATGTGAAGGGTTACAGAATTTTATGTAACGAGGGTGCCAGTATGTCATTTGACCAGCACCAATAGACTTTTTTCATGGCAGACATTTTGATAACAAAATACAACAGTAAGCCAACAATGTGCAATAGTGGAAGTAGCTCAGTAGTTACTTATTAGATACTGTCAAGTTGTCTGTGTACCTTAAAATCATCCAAGCTGGCGCCCTGTTCCAGTGCTGTTCCAAAGGTGTTTCTGTTAGACCAGTTCCCGTCTCCATCTGGAAGGTCAGCATTGTGGCCCTGCTGGCTCGACCAGCGATCGCCCACTGTGCACCTTCCATAAATGCTGTTCTCATGGGCGCTCGCCACCAGCGTCCAGCCGCCTCCCGCAGTGGTCATATCACAGAAGGTCTGAAAGACCATGCCATTAGCAGTGGTCAGGTAGTAAAGCCCATCTGGAAATATTAGTGCTAATGAGTGAAAATCTTTATTTTCTTTAAATATATGTTTTTTAGACACCTTGAATAGCATCAAATATATTTAAAAGTATTGTCAAACACTTACTGTCTTGTGCACTATATCTGTCCCTGATCTCTTTACAACTCCTTGCAACATATCTGGACCTGCTCCTTAATTTCTCCAAATGTTCAAAGTTTGTTATGGTGAGGTTCTGAGTGGTGTCATCATCATTTGTGACTTCTGTGGGGATAACCTACTCTGAAAATAAAGCCACTTTCATCAAGTTAGGTGGCAGTGATAATGAAAATACACTGCATGAGCATAATAGGAATTTGTGTATGTGTGTGCGGTGTATTCCCTACACAATACCTAATGTATTACCTATTTGGGGAGAAGCAGCTGCAAAGGATACATGACCCACTGACATGAAAACCACCAAAAGCAAAACTATATGGCATAACATATCTCTGTCAAAAAACATAAAATATATCCAAACATTAGTATGTATGATACACAACTGAGACAGGACATCATTAGTAAGTCACAGTAAGATAAATAGTAAGTTGTTATATATCAAAATCTGTCACTGTTTTAAATTGTATTTTCTTCTTCATACGATGTCTCACTGATAATGAAGGTGGTCTCAGTAACTGAGAAAGAAGTGAGATGTAAATTATTCAGTCTCTAGTGGTTTTAGTGGAGAAAAACAATTTTCCCAATGCCCTATAAATCATAGTTTTAACCACAAAAAGGCTGTGTTGACTGTGTCATTGCTGTCCAGACTTTCAGTAGTATACATTCCTTTGAAAGAAACAGCCGGTTTAAAATATATAACAAACAAAACAGTAACAAAATCCTTCATATGACACAGACCTGTTAAGATTCAGCAAATATCTTAAATGCATCAAAAACTGTTAAGTAACAGATCGTATCAAACTCATTTTCTTTGAGAATGTCACATAATGTGCCTGCAAAACTATCTGCAGGTTTGAGATGGATTGCTAGTAAATCAGCAGGATAAAGAAGATGAATGTTTAAAATAAATACTTTGTGTTGGTAGAACAATTTCTTAACTGCTGCACTATTTTTTAATAGCCTGAGTGACATCTTTATATCTGCAGGTGTCATTTCTAGTCAGTGAAGCAGAGACAATATTCAATGAATATGAAGAAATAGCGCCAAACTGAAAATTATCACCAGTAATAAAAACTGAACAACATTAAAATTTCCAAATAAACGTCCTCAGTAAAACTGCAAATTGTAACCTGTGTTTGCAGTAGGATTTCTTTTTAATTGATAGACTCTGTAAGGCATATATTTGTTGTGGTCATGTTCAGATCAAAGTTTACAGGAGATTGTAACTATAGTGAGTGATCGGCTGGTATTTTTTGGTCCAGTATGCAACTTATACATATACTTATGTGATAGAAACATGGAGGAGCTAGTGCACAAACACCGAGAAAATAGACTTTTCAGTGAAGTAGGAAACAGCTTTTGTCCAGCAGGAAAATAATATATATTATATATATTATTATAGATTATGGAATTTGTAATGAGGTAGAAGGAGTAGAGGATTTTTTAAGGAATGTAATGGAAAAAATATATATCAGACACACATTATTAATCTAAGCAGACTATTTGTATGTATGTCTTAATGTTTAATGTAACAAAAGTAAAAAAAGTACTCATTATGCAGAACTGCTGTTTTCAGAATAATGTGCATTATAGATGCATTCATGTGTGCATCACTGCAATAGCGCAGCTAGTAAAGATGGTGTCATGGTTCAGTCATTGTAGTCTTATCTGTAAAGTTCTGTGTGTTTCCTGTTTTATTTTGTACCTTTCTTTCTTTCCTTCTTTCTGTTTCTGATCCTCTCACTTCCTTTCCTTGTGTTTTTTCTGCCAATGGTAATTCTTTTCTCTGCCCTCAATCACCTGCACCTGCATCTGATTACCTTACACATGCTCACTACATAGTATCTGTGTTTTCCTCCCTCCTGTGCCAGTTTATCTTTGTCTACTCAGTCAAGCAGCAGTATTTCTCGTGTTCATGTACTTTGGTTTTCTAGATATTTGCCTGCCCCTTCTGGACTTGTTTGCCTTTTTTGTGGATTACCTGTGTACCGAGTTGCTACAGTAAAAAAAGGAACTGATTAACCTCTGAATCCTGTTAGGGTTTGACAAATAAACTGGACTCAAATGCACGACTCAAAACAAACAATTTGAATTACTCTATACACGGCTGGGTAGCTTGTGAATCTTTCCTTGGGGATCAATAAATCTTAACCTAAAATAATGCATCAGTTTCTATTTGTTGATTATATTTTGCATTATTGATCTGAATCTACAAAGTAACTGAAGTTATTAAATACAAATAGAAGAGTGAAATGTATAATATTTTCCTCTGAAATGTAGAAGTTTGACAGAGAACAAAACTACTCAAGTACAAATACCTCAAAATGTTACTTAAATGTTAACTAGCTTAATTACTTTCCACCACTGGTTGTAACTCTTTGAAACATATGCTATGATGCACTTTATTAATAACACTTTTTTATTTCTCAGAAAAGGTACTTTCAGTAAAGCTTTTTGTGTTTATTGAACTCAAATCCTCTAATACGACTTAGTGACTGCAGTGTCTGATTTTTGCCACTAGATTTCACCATTTTCTTGAATGTATCAGGATCATGTTCTGACCAGCTAGATACAAACCATGACAACTCTTTCACTGTGTCTCTCTCCGATTTATTTTTAGAGGTTAGCACGCTGTGAGAATAGGGTGGCAGGCTTTCTGACGCCTCGCACTAATAATTCAACTGCATCACGCAGCAGCAGCAGCAATAAGAAGCGGCAGCCAGCTGTGCACTTCCAGCCACACCAACCACATTATGTGGCCGTCTCCTGGAAATATTTACTTCTTCTTATTAAGTCTTCTTAAATAATTGTGGCCTTTATGTGTGTTTTACATCACTTTCTCTAAATTTCTTAATTTTAACCCGTATTTGTTTTTTTCTTAACTTTGTCCCATGTAGAAATTAGGCTAAATTTGTATGTTTTTTGCACATGGTAGTTAATGGACTACAATAACCAATAACCTCTTTAGCTGTACACTTTGTAAGTGAAATATTATAAACTAAACTTGATAACTCCAATATTAGCCCAGAAGAAAAGACCTGATGTACATTGGAATGGACATTCAATTCAAAATTAAGTGTTTTCAAGATTGAGGAAACCTGCAAATGAACTATTAACATGATTTTTTTTTTAAGGTAAAATTAAACTCAACAAAAGTGAGATATGCATGAATATAAATTATGTAAATATTCAAAAGGTGAAAACGCCTGCCATGTCTGTCTTCTGTCATGTCTGTCCTCTTGCAACTTTAAAAAATTATTACTTATTTCTTAAACAGAATTAACTGTTGTGTAACTTTTTTTGTGTTATTTTAGGTTTCACTGTAACCTTTTTATGAACCTGCATTTCCACTGACCCTAAAAATCTCCATATTTCTCGCTTAAATTCTCATGTTTCTCCTGTCTTGTTTTATTCTGTTCTCCCTCTCAAACACACACACACACAACCACACACACACACACATACACACTTTATCTTCCTCCTGCCTCTTCTTTTTCCTTTCTCAGCGTTGTCCGGTTTGCTAATCTTATCTGACCTAATTCATTTCTCTACCGGAAACATTCAGATTCATTGACTTGGAATACACACACTCATAAATAAAACACACACATAAACAGTGTTGACTTCTCAGACTTGGTCTGAGTGTTCTTAAACATAAAGGATTTTTTTTAAAAGTTGTCCACTTATAGACATGATTGTAAGCCAGGACTAAATCTGACTTAATGTGTTCTCCATATATCCGTAATAATGCAGCAGCCAGGGACCTCTCCCCTCTGGAGTACCAGGATTATTGCAGGAAACAATGCAACAACCTGATCTGATGTCCCCAAAGAGACCACGGGGGGATTATACGTTCTTTTGGACAAAAAGACTTCACAAACTGGGTCAGAGGAAAAAACACAGTACATGGGAGGTCAAAGCAAATCCATCAGTCAGTATCCCTAACATATAAAGGCACATTTTTCAGGGTTTCTTTCAGTAAGATGTTTACAAGGATGTGGAATGTGAAATTTGTGTCTTTTACCAGAATCACAAGCAGTGGTTTCCGACCTCACTAGGGGTCACAACTTAATTCAGAATCAGTCTTCTACTACACAATTTTTTATTAGAGGTCCAGTGTGTAACATTTAAGAGGATCTATTGTCAGAAATGGAATATAATATTCATAGGTATGTTTTCATCAGCATATAATCACCTGAATATAGGAATCGTTGTGTTTTTGTTCATTTAGAATTAGCTGTTTTTATCTACAAGCGCCCCAGGTCGCCTTCCATGGAGTCCGCCATTTTGAACTGCCATGTTTCTACAGTAGCCCAGAACAGACAAACCAAGAATTGGCTGTAGATATGGCCTTCTGTGTTTCACAGCCAACATAAATCCTAAACAGTTAGATGATGAGAAGTTTAGATGATCACATTAGTCTTTGGTAGAACTGCAAACAACTCATAGGCAAATTCCACCTAAGATGAGGGATAACAATTAAGTAAATGTTGACTTATTTAGAAGTCAAAAAGATTGGAAGACAAGATCAATCTGAGTGGGTCACAAGATCATCAAGAAGACAGGAAAAATAGAATAATAATCTACTACACAAAGTTTAGGTAATTTTGAGGGGGGGGTTTTTATCCACTATCCAAATCCCCTTTTCTTGTTAAATAATAAAATAAACAGTTTTACCGCTTCAAATGACACAATCTCAATCTTCAGTTGAAAGTCTTTGTTTGAACAGCTAGCAGCTAATTGACCTTTAACTTATGATGAGGGGTCATAACCAGCCAAGCCAAAAAGGTTAAGAACTGCTGCTAACATCAACACAAGACACACTTAAATGTTACACAGTTTACTCCCTGTGACTGGCCTTGTGACTGTCAGGCAAAAAAACAAACAAACTACTGGACAACCCAGACTGTCAGGGTTAGGGTTAACATTAGTTTCTTTTTTAATTGTGACCACAGTTTCTCCTAAAATATATTCACAGGGGTTGCCAGGATAGCTCACCTGGTAGAGCCTGTGCCCCAAGTCCTTGCTGCAGCAGTGATGGGCTCAAGTCTGATTTGTGGCCCTTTCCTGCGTGCCATCCTCTTTCTCTTTTCCCCTTTCCTGTCAATCTTCAGCTGTCCTATGAAATAAAAGCAAAAAGCCCCCAAAAATGTATTTCAAAAAGAAATTTACAGTTTTAATATGCCAGCAAATCCTCCACATGGTCCATGTCCTGACACTTATAATATAATAATTTTCTGATCTATTGCCAGAATCAACAGGACGTTGCTCCCTTTCAAAAATAAAACTTTATCTTTTACCACTATGATTAAGGTTTATTTTAGGTTTAGGCCCAAAAACAATGCAGTTGGTAAAGATCATGGTTTGGGTTAAAACAACTGCTTTGTTAAGGTTAAACACATTTTGTTGAGCCTTTTAACTGACTCCCACTTCTGTGAACTTTGAGGCTTTATAACAACGTCCCACTGTTTCCTCCTTTGCTCCCAGTGGCCACTAGAGGACTTTGTCACTTGAGTGTAAACATATGTCGTTTTCGGGCATTTGTTGAAATGACTGACGCTTTTATTTTTTGATCTCAAATAGGTTGTTAGACTGTACGATTAACAATGGGGAGTCCTTGTTCTGGTATTATCTTGTTAAAATGGGATAAATAAATAAAATGTTCAAACTCTCCCTGTATGCTGAGGCTTCAGAGCAGTAGTTACAGTACCTTTTGCTAGATGAGTTCACAAATCAATTAACAGCTCCTGCTGAAACTCCCTGTCTCTCTCTCTCTTTCTCTCTCTCTCGCTCTTTCTGTCTGGCCTGCAGCCTCGAGGGCTTTTTCTCTCACATGTTCAAGGTGGGCAGGGGTGGCCCATTAAAGGTTTCCCCAGGCGAACACAACTGCCCTGAGAGACACGTTAATGCAGTGAGCTCCTTTAGGGTGACACGAGAATGAAATGGAGAAAGAATGAAACAAGGACAGTCAGTCAGTATTAATAGATGTAATCACTTTATCATTCTTCAGAGAAAAGACTCCACATACCAATCTCTGTACTGAACTCTAGTCAGGCCTGTAATGACTTTTCTCACTCAGTAACCTACATGCAACCACTGTAAATGGGAGACACAGTTTTAAAAATGTATTCAACCTCTGTTTTATTAATCATCTTTGGTATGGTGACTGTTCTTACATACAGCTGGAGATGCCTACAGCTGATGGATGTCCTATGTAGGTTACAAGCCCATTACACAGCGAACACCATAAGGATGCACACACCTCCCCTCTGGAAACAATTACACAGTATACCGCACCATCTCTGTGTTTTCTCACTCCTGCACATCAGAATAAACACAGACACGAACATGTTATCATTGGTGCCTAACAGAGATAATACAAGTGTTAACTGCATACATTTTCAGTGAATTTGTAAATTCGGATTGTCTATTACTGCAGTTGTTGCACTAATCCATAATATGTGGTGTACTTAAAATGAAGAGTTTTTGGGAAATACTTTATTCACTTTCTTGCAGAGATTCAATTAGAAGATCCATACCACTCTCAAGTCTTTACAGTAAATATGTAGCTGGAGTCAGAAGCCAGTTAAATTAGCATCAAGACTAGAAACAGGGGAAAAGCGAGCCTAAAGCCTCATTCACTTTCTGCATCTGAACATGATCAGACAATAATGGATGGATTCAGTATTTCCTGTCCCTGGTCCTTTTCTTCTTAAGTGGTTGCTTTGAACTGTCTGCGGACGTGGAATGTGTAAAGTATGTTCTAGCCTTAACTCCCTCAATAGGGTAAAAAAAAATGTCTGACTGGCAACTGCTCAAAAAATAGTCTGGTACAAAACCCTTCGTAACACAGTACAGTGTGATACTTAAGCTTTTGTTTTGATTAAAGAAACAAGGTATCACGTGTAATTAGTGAACTGTAGAGATGCTTATAGACAGGTTTTGTTACCTTCATACAGAAACAGGATGGCCACTTTTCCCTGCTTCCAGTCTCTATGTTTAGCTAAACTAACTGCTGCTTCATAATTAACTTACAGTTCTCACATCTATAGCTGGAATTATGCATCTTGATACATGTAAACATCTTTGTGAACCTATGCAGAGAAGGGTGCTATGGTCGGAGTAGCCGATGCACACAACTCTGAAATTGCAACAACACGTACTGTAGCCTGCGTGTTAAACAGGCTGATTAGTTCATTCAACCCTGTCAGGAGGCGGGATCAAAACGTAGATGAACACAAAGGTAATCATACAACAATAATGTGAAAGTATTGCTTTAAATGTAAAGCTACAGCTACCTAGAACCATGCAAGCTGGTGGCCCCTGTTTCCACTCTTTGTGCTAAACTATAAGCTAACCTGCTGTTGGCTTTAGCTACATACAAGGCCTACTTAACCAGACAGATGAGAGTGGCATCAATCCTCTCATATAACTCTCAGCATGAAATAGAAAAAGGGTTGTTTTTTTTCCCAAAAGAACATTTTTTTTAAATCGTGTAACAGTAATGTAATCACAACCATCAACAAAATATGTGCCGCTCCGGATGGAATCATAATCCTTGTTGGCTCCATTAAGGCTTGTGGCTGCTTGAGGTTGTAACACACGCGTTCATATTTAACACAAACAAGGAAGTCTCATTAAACAAAAACGAACAGATGTTAATCTGCACAAAGTTAATCACAGAGCAGCATATGAGACTGCGGACCTCCAGCTATAATATTGTAGTCTCTGTTCCTGCCTCGGCCTCACTGCATGGACAATAATCTTGTGTTTTTGTGGCTTGTCACCGTAAAAGCTTCTGTGTTCTCACTGGTCAGGGCATCTTTCACAGGAACAACCTTTACAAATAATTCATGTTTGTTTCTTTCAGGAGAGAGAGGGGGGAAACAGAGTGCACAGTGCATTCACCAAGATGCACAGCTGACGGGTGCTAATGTGAGTGAGTTACATAATCCCATTTCTAGAGATTCAGAGAAATCTTGACCTCTGGTAACTCTGTGTCCATGGTGGCTTGAGTGGAAGGCTCACGGCAAAAATGTCCGTCTTCACTGGTAAATCTAAATGTCAGTGTTTTTCAAGTAAAATGGGTGAGATATTTTGTTTGCTGTTATGTTTCATCTGAGGATTCTTTTGAAATTCACTTCAGCAATGTTAATTTAATGGTTTATGATCCGTGTACAACTTTTAAATTCTAATCTAACAATGAGATTGAACAATAAATGAGTTCCAGCTTGATTTAAGACTCTGACCATCAGGTGTCCGCCTTGTTAGTTATTTATGGCTGTATCTTGATTACCTGATTAAACTAAATAATTGTAAAAACACAGTCCATTTAAGTCTTAATCTTTTTGTGGGCTCACCTTATTTACCCACATCTGGACCGGTCTATATTTGTCCTGATAAGGAAAAGGAGAGGTAGTACAGTTTAATTCAGTTTCACAGTGTAACATTTTAACCTACAAAGTCTTTGTAGGGTAAACATCCATGTGAACAAAAATAAAGATATAAGCTCCACAATCATCCCCCCAAATTTACAATGAAAATACAATTTGCTACTAGATAACAGAAAAAAAATAATAAGAACATGGATAATGGGTATAATTTTGTGTCATGTGACCATGTCCTTTTTAGATGGAGGCTTCTTTTTTGTTCACATGGATGTTTGACTGACTTTGGTTCTTTTTTTTCCCTGCCCCTGTACTATATCTGGGGTTGGATGTGCAAACTCTCTAACTTCTTAGCCTGCTGCTCCCTGACCTCGCACATTTCATCAGTGTTGTCACTTATATTGGTATCTGCGTCAGTCTGTCTCTGTCGTTACTTTCCTCGGTGTCCGTCACCGGCTCCGAAGTTGTCCCTCTGTGATACAAGACGGTCACCGTTGTGTTCCCGCTGTCCTCACTGCCCCCAGTCTTCCGGGCACAGGAGACACTCAGCTTCGCCTTCAGCGGGCTCTCCTGCTTCAGGTGTCCGGCCTCGTTGCTCGCCATCACGGTCTCCACCGCGGCGCTCACCGCGGCGCAGCAGCGTCGTCCGCGGCAGCGCAGCAGGCGCAGGAAGGCGTCTCTGAAGTCCGCGTTGAACGCATAGATGACCGGGTTGAGGGACGAATTGCTCCAGCCGATCCACACGAAGACGTCGAAGGTTTTTTCACTGACACAGTAAGGGCCCCTCTGTGCCCCTGCGGCCTCTGGTCCGGGACAGAAGGGCAGAGCGCAGTTCAGGACGAAGAACGGCAACCAGCAGCAGACAAAAACGCCAATGATGATGCTCAGAGTTTTGAGGACTTTCGTCTCTTTTCTGATGGAGACTTTGAGCTCCCGATTAGAGCGCTCAGGATTAAGACGGATATGAGACGTATAGGAGTTGGCACTGATTTCCGTACACAGGTGAGGGAACTGTTCATGTGCGTCCGAGCGGCAACTCTGCGCGTGCTCTGCCGCCCGCTCCAAGGAGGATATCATCCGGATCTGCATCTGGGCTATCTGGTAGATGCGGGTGTACGTGACAATCATGATGGCCACGGGGATGTAGAAGCTGATGAGGGAGGAGGAGATGGCGTACGTGCGGCTCAGGCTGGAGTCGCAGCTCCCATCGACACTCTTACCGTGAAGCGCCAAATCCTCCACAGCCGGATCACCGATCTCCGCCCGGTGCCAGTTCAGCTGCACGGGAACGAAGGAGATGACTACGGAGACTGTCCAGGTCACGCCGATCATAACAGAGGCCACTTTCTTGTTCATACTCCTCTCATAGCGGAAAGGGCTGGAGATGGCCCAGTATCGGTCCACACTAATGACGCACAGGTTGAGGATGGAGGCCGTGGAGCACATGATGTCGCAGGCCCAGCCAGGTCTCGCAGTACCCGCTCCAAGACGGCCAGAAACCCGCCACTTCAGCCACAGCTTGTCCACGGCAATCACCAGTAACGGCGGACCAGGAGGTCCGACAGAGCCAGGGAACAACGATGAAGATGTTGGTTACTTTGGCGCGCAGGTGCCGGTAGCGAAAAAACGGCTGCGCACACCGTAAAAGTTGCCCAAAAAGCCCGTCCAAAATGAATAAGCAGCGCGCAGGACGCCAGGCCGTTTTTTAGAGGCTCGGTGCCGCCGGTAACTTCCTCCCGGCTGCCCAAACCAGTGCCCAAGCCCCGGTGGTGTTTTTTATTCATCATCTGGTGCTGCGGCTGCCAAACTTACAAGGACAAGAACGCCCATCCCATTCGTACCATTAACAGGGGGTGGGGGGGTGGAAGCACTCAGCGCGCGTCCTGCTCCAGTCGGACTGATCTGTGCTGCTGCTCTGAGCGCAGAGCAGATTTACTGGGGACCACATGCACCACCAGCTGGTCCTCACTGCTGACAGCACAGCGCGGAGACGCGCAGGGCTGAGAGAAGTCTAACAAAAGAAAATCATGTCAAGCCATTTTTGTTTATCTCTGTGTTTATTTTTTTGCATTCAGCATTACTGTTTTGTTGTTGTTGTTTTTTACAATGTTTTATCCCATTTCTCCTAATTCCAACTCAACAGGCAACAGTGGTTTTGTCATTTAGGACTGAGTTGCTTGAGTGAGTCCTGTTAACATCAGAGAACAATTATGAATATTTTGTATTAATACAGCACCTTTTGGCAAAAAAAGACACAAAGTGCTTTACACTTCAGATATATGGTTAAATAGTTGAAGAGAGTAAATAAACCAGACTACACCTAACATGTGTTGGGGGGGGGGACAGGCCTGATGTCATCTTTTATTTTCAATTAATTTTTTTTTTAAAAAGCTCTGCATTTGCAAATATGTTAAAATTTCACAAAGGTTTATAACTACAGAAAAGTTGTCTCTACATTATTGTGCTCTGTGGTGTCTTGGATGTATTTCTCCCCTCTTAAGAAGCCTCCACCTCATCATTTTCCTCACAGGTTTCCAGCAGACAGGTTTCAACCAAGGCTCTCATCACATTATAAGGGTCACAGTTGGCAGCAGGACGTCTGTCCTCAAAGTACCCGCAGCCCCTCCGACTAACATGGCCAGGGATGCGCACACTAACATTACGACAGGATGTGGCCGTAGAGAACTCATGGAAACTGGAGGTAGAAGATGATTGACTGGTTAGGCGATTCATGTTGTCAGCACCACCATGTGGATCGTAGACATGGAGGTGCTGAGAGTGACGCCTGCTCAGCCTTCTGATTGCTTCTTCAATGTACCTGTAATGTCACAGAGAACAGATCTTATTTATGCTTCTATTTCCAAATACCTATTGCCTGTGCACCAAAATCAGAGGATGTGTGTATTTTGTGTCCGTGTGAGACTTACTGAAGTCCCCCTTCACTCCTCATCTCCTTGGTGCTGAAATTGGTGTGACAGCCTGATGTATCAAGGTTGCCCTCGATGGGTTTAACGTCCAAGGAGGCAACAACTCTAAAGTCTTCACATACGCGATGCAGGATGTAGCGAGCAGTCCACAGATGATCCCCCATTTCAATCCCCTCACACGGGCCGACCTGGAACTCCCACTAATCAGACAAAGACACCAATCACAGGAAGAGAAGGAGACATCTTATAACCACAATGTCTTGTACTCCTGAAACTGGTTGTGTGTCCAACCAAATGACCATGTGTAGGTTGTATGAAATCTTGAGGGAATTGTCTTCTTGTAAAGTGGATACGGACAGGAAATATAGGGAAATTATATGCAACAAAGGACCCCAGCTGAGATACAACCAGTGCTTGTATCTTTTGCATTAACCAGACACTCAAGTGATTTTGTCATAATGTCTGTCTTCTTATGTCAACTATCAAATAAAGGCGCTTGTAGACATAATATAAATTAAATATAAATAATAGTAATACACAAAATCATGAATTAAACCATGTTATCTCATGATAATATACATTCACAAATTATTACATTATGTTATCATTACTTGTTTTAACCTGATGGGAGAGCTTTAGTTTAAAGCTGCTTTCAGTTACTTTCGAGAGTTGCAGTGGAGCAGCTGGAGAACAAACTAGAAAACATTTCCTCCATAAAATATGATCCACTTTCACCAAAATGTGTATAACAGTTGTTGGTGTGTGAAGCATTACTTGCTTGTCCTGACCCAGAGCCAAAAGTTACAAAGTGTACAGGCATACAGCCCAGAGTGAGATTGACAGAGGGACAATTCACGCTATTTCAACTCAGTGTAGCATCAAAATGACTTGGAAGTTGTTATTTTAAGGTATAAAAGTTACATAATCTCGGTTTAAATACACTATAAACCTAATTAGAGCAGAAAGGAACTGCAGAGTGGGTTTCTCTGTGGGTGCATCATTACAATCAAATTTGACCCAATTGTTCTTTAAAAAAAATACTTATTAGTGCAGCTTTAATCTTGATTAGGCTCAATATTATTCCCCCCAGGTGAGTTTATCTAATTCCCATGAATTAGCTAATCAAATGTAGTGAAATAGGTTTTAGAATTTGGTAATAAAATAAACAGCGGTTCATACCTGGGAGGGTAATGATTCTGCATTGGTGCCACAGATCTTTAAGCCAGCATACAGACAGGCTTTGTAGTGACAGATACAAATGTCTCTTCCATACACTTGGTTAATGCCCACAGCACAATTCACTGAGAATAAAAAAAACACAAAATGAGATCTAGTGAGAAAACTGCTGAAATTAAAAAGCACTGTCACCATATTTGTCTCTGCAAATATTACATCACAAAATAAATAGTAAATGTCTTCATAATACTTTCAATACTAGGCATGTTTTTCTAGTTCAGTCCAACATTCACATATCCATTGTTAATCCCACCTCTTGTAAATGGGGTGCCCTGAGGAGCCCAACCAAAGGGCCGTCCATCCAAACCAAACAGGATGTACTCCTGTTCCATCCCGAACCAGGGCTCAAATTCTCTAACTTCCTCCATGACTTTAGCACACTGTGAACGCTGATTACTTCCTGTGTGGAGAAAATAAAATCAGTAGGTGCAGCACACCAAGGCTCAGAGTTTGCTGTATATACACGTAGCTGACACTTTTGAGTTCTTATGTTGTAGTATGTTACCCATGGGCACACGGTTGCTGTCAAGCACTTCACACAAAACCAGTTTATCTGGGTCAAGAGTAAAGGGATCTCGAAACATTCTGACCGGGACCAAAGTGACTTCAATTGAATTCCCATCCATCCAGCTAGCACTCCATTCTGGTATATCTGTCAGGGGACAGACATTTTGAAAGTACCAGTTAACACATGGTCAGTAGGAACAGAAACATATCAGGCACAATATTTATATTTTATATGTTATAGAAAGACATCAACAATGCTACTTAAAGCTCTTTAAAAATAACAACAGGAACTACAAAGTGAAGCTTTTAGAGTCGCTTCCTATACTATACCTTTGATTCCAGTTGGTTTTTTGTTCAGAGTCCTGGTTTTAGATTGTAGATTTTCTCCAGAATAATCGATCCAGATGTACGTCACCTGGCACTCTGCACCTTTAGCCAGGGACAGGTAGTGTTTCTTTACTGTCTTATGAAGACTGAGGCTTTCCAACAGGAAAGACATGATGACTTTCTCTTTCTTCAAGGAAAGGCTTTTGTGAATTAGCACTTCTGCTTCCACTAAAAATATCTGTTCATTATACAGCTTGGTTCCTCCTAAAATATTTGGATATATTCAAGTTAAGAATGTCAAGTTAAATATTCATGGAGTCATGTATTTAAATAGGGTAAAATATTTAATTTTTTTTTTTTTTTAAACGCTTGGATGAAAATTTACCCAGTGTGCTGTCAGTGTAACACTGCTGCAATACTGGATTCATTTAACCCAGTACCAACAGGGTGTTTTGATCCAGTGTTGGTGGCATTTTTATATTGCTGTTGGGTTACTGGATCAAAACAACCCTGTTGTTGGGTATTTTTACCCCCAAACAATGTCAGTTCTAACCCAGTTTTTAAGTGTATTTTCAGTTTAAATTGCCACCCCATCTGTTGTAATCTCATTATTATCTAAAAGCGGCTATGATTTAATAAAATCATATGACAGCAATGAGACAAATATGATAATGTCAATGTCTCATAGTGATGCATCTGTAGAGAATAACCACCCGAATCAGTAGCTCCTCTTGGCTTTACAGAGCTTTATAGAGACTTTCAGTTCATTGTTTAGATGTCCGACCCACAACTTTACTGTTTTGGTTCACTCTCACTGCTTTAATAGCACCGTTTTGAGCTTCATGTGGGCCGCTGTTTTCAGTTAAAAAGCTCTAAAGACCCCATTGTACACCACCTGCTCACCACCAAACAGCAGACACAGTAAGCCACTATTTGGTGAACACAGTGAAGCATTTAGCAGCTAAAGAGATACATTACTCTCAAGAGTTGTTAAAGAAAAAGATTGTACTAAAATATTTTGAATAGTATAATAATATGTTGCTCCATAGCTGCTGTATGTGTAAAACAAGTTCATAATACCTTAAAAGGTCATGATATGTCAGTGCTGTGTTCACAACTCTGCTGCCCCCAAGTGGTAAAAAAAAAAGTATGTTATTGCAGGTTTAAATGTATAGATTGACTTTTGGGAAATCGGAGAGTTAGATGAGAAGATACCACTTTCATGTCTGTATGGTAAATATGATATGAAGCTACAGCCAGCAGACACTAAGCTGCTGGTCACGAAGACTGGAAACAGGAGAAAGATCTAGCCTGGATCTGTCTAAAGGAAACAAAATAAGCCATAAATCAGCACTTATAAAAAGACTACAAACTAACACATTACATGTTTCTTTGTTTAGCTAAACTAACCGGATGCTGGCTGCAGTTTCACCAGACAGAAGTGAGAGTGTTATCAGTCTTCTCATCTAACTCTCNNAAAATGACAAACTATTCCTTTTATTTTAATTTTATTGACAGTGTATTGTAATAGCATTGTATTGCTCCTCCTCTACCTGCTACCTTTAGGCTGTATTGTTCAGACTATGTACTGCTACAGTGCACTCTAAATTTAATACCTCTCTCACACACGAACACACACAGACAACACACACACAACGCACACACACACACACACACAAATAAAATAAACATGCTGCTGTGGATAAAAGCTGACTTTCTGGCCGGGGACGGAACCAGATGGCACAGCTGAAGAGCATCGGTAAGGAACACTTAAATAGCACTCAAGCAATATTTGATCTTTATTAATGGCAACAGGGTGTTTGAATACAGATTTAGAGGATGGAGACAGTAGCAGACAGTCCGAAGCAGAGGGCGGGGAGCTGATAATCAGATTATCTCCATCATTTTCGAGAGTTTGTACTATTTTTGTGCATTTGCTGATTTAGGACACACTGGAATTACATCCATTTGTTGAAATGAAATTGCTTTCACATGGGCATGGATGTCCTCTCCTTTCCTGACTGTGAGTTAATGGCTGAATCTAATAATAATAATTCAAAAGTCACAACATATACATTCCTGAATACCATAATCACTAGTTAGCAGTCATAAAGTAGTTAAGGTCACAGCACACATATGCATGAAAAAGATGCAACCCCAGACTGGTGTCTAATGTTATCAAATTTAACACGTAAATTTAGATTATTAAAAAAAAACAACAACATATAAT